AACATTGTGGGTCAAGGAGACTTTAATAGTGCTTTGGAAATGATGGATAGGGACACAATGGAAGGTGTCCAAAGTGACCACTTGGGGCTTAGTGCTACAGCATTTCTTCATCATCTGGATTGAAATAGGCAGAAGTTCTTTACTTTAGAGGGCATGGCTGGAGTGGAAAGGTATTCAGAATGTGAAAAGGACCATTCATATAATGGTTTGTAAAATGCTGCACCAAAACCCCAGTTGTGTAAAGATTGCACAAAGAAAAGTATAAGTATTCAAAAATTCAGAACACTTCTAAAACATTCATATTTCCCTGGATTTAAGGTCTGCTTAAGTTTGAACAATGGGAAGATCAAAATTAATTTTTGGGAAAAATAAGCCTAGCTTTTACCACGTGTACATAAATAATATACATGTGGGCTTGATTCTGTTTCATCAAGTATTTCTATAAACCTTGGTATAATGCCTGCATTGAATTGGGAGCCCAGGGTGATAAAGATAAACAAAACTCGTGAGTTGCAGGGTGACTTTTCAAAAGGAAAAAATTCCTCCTTAGTATACTGTTCTCTTTACTCTGTTTTTATCGTATGCACCTGGTAAAGGTGGCCTAGGATTTGACCACCTGTGACTCCACTTCTGCCTGTCTCCATTATGCATTAGATTTGTTGCCATTCTAAACACTCAACCCACGGAACACCTTCTGAATGTATGTGATGACCTATGTCTTTGCCTAAAGCTTTAGATAACTCATTAAAAAACATGCTTATATGTGCACTTGTTTTAGCAACAGTTAAGGGGGAGGTTTCTGGTTCTGGAGCAGATAGTAGCAAGTGTAACAAAGGCACAGAAATAATGGTCTTTTTACATGATTGTGTTTTTTACTCTAAGAAGAAAACTGAACAGCAATAATAATTTAGGAATTTTGTAAAACCTAAAAATTTATGAACTGCTTCTATACAGATCAACTATTTTTTTACTTAAAATCACTCATTTTACAGTTGAAAAATGTGAAAATTAGAGTTTCAGTCACTTACTTAAACCCCACAACTGATGTGTATGGTGTCAGAAGCAAACCTTGATTGATTTTCTTGCTCCAACTCTAGGGCTCAGAACTCATTATATAAAAATGTGATAATAACAAACAGTGTAAATTCTTTGATGTCCAGCTTCATACTGAAATTGAAATTGCTAATAAATGGTAATGGTTGCACTAAGAATCACTCTCAAAGGTAGCTCTGTACCCTTAAGATTTGCCTGCTCGTTTTCAAGGATGCTGCCTGTGCCCACAGAAGTGCTTGCACTAACCTCCTGCCATATTTTCCTGCATGTCCTGCCCTGGTCGGGTGTTAATATTTGCCTTATTCCTAAATCCTAATTCTTCATATACCTCCTTTGGAATAACATTAAATGGGATATTCCACTTAAATTTTCATTTCCAATTAGGATCTGAATTTTTTTTCCTTTGTTGATTTTATTTATTTATTTTTATTTACATATGACAGCAGAATGCATTACCATTCTTATTATACATATAGAGCACAGTTGTTCATATCTCTGGTTGTATACAAAGTATATTCACACCAATTTGAGTCATCATACATGTACTTTGGATAATGATGTCCATCTCATTCCACCATCATTTCTAACCCTATTCCCCCTCCCTTGCCTTCCCACCACTCTGCCCTATCTAGAGTTCATCTATTCCTCCCCATGCTCCCCCTCCCTATCCCACTATGAATCAGTCTCCTTATACCAGAGAAAACATTTGGCATTTGATTCACTTAGCATTATCTTCTCTAACTCCATCCATTTACCTGCAAATGCCATGATTTTTTTTCTCTTTCACTGCTGAATTAATATTCCATTGTGTATATATGCAACATTTTTTAATCCATTAATCTATTGAAGGGCATCTAGGTTGGTTCCACAGTTTAGCTATTGTGAATTGTGCTGCTATTAACATTGATGTGGCTGTGTCCTTGTAGTGTGCTGTTAAGTCCTTTGTGTATAGAGTAAGGAGAGGGATACCTGGGTCAAATGGTGGTTCTATTCCAAGTTTTTCAAGGAATCTCCAAACTGCTTTCCATATTGGCTGCACCAATTTGCAGTCTCACCAGCAGTGTATGAGTGTACCTTTTTCCCCGCATCCTCGCCAACATTTATTGTTGCTTGTATTCATAATAGCTGCCATTCTGACTGGAGTAAGATGAAATCTTAGAGTGGTTTTGATTTGCATTTCTCTAATTGCTAGAGATGATGAGCATTTTTTCATATATTTGTTGATTGTTTATCATATTCTGAGAAGTGTCTGTTCATAGGCTCTGAATATTTTGTATATGATTTCCCATTTTCTATAATGCTATTCCTGGCTCAGACCCCAGGACTTCAGTTCCTTTACAATATCCTGGACTTTTGCTGTTTTCAGGAGGGAGTGTTAAACAATTACAAAGTGGAATAGAAACCTAGGAGTTCATTATTTATTAAATGAAAGTGTTATTTTTCTCATATGTAAATGACAACAGAGTAATTATGCGTGGCTGACAAAGTTTCCTATGATAATGAGTAAAGTTTGCCCCATTAACAGTCCACATCAAGGACAGGCTTGGCTTTGCATTAGGAAACAATGCATAGTTCTGTGGGAAGTTTACTGAGCCAGCAGCCAGGAGACCATTGTTCTGGCTAAGTGTCCTGATCTACCTCTAACTTTGTGTGATCCTTGGGTCAATTATTTCATTATCACAGGCTTCAGTTACCTTGTTAAATAAAAGCAGCACATTGAATCATCTCTAAGCAGCTTTAACATCTGTCTCTAAATTTACAAATTTCATATTTCAGTGATGTATGTTAGGTCATATCACTCCTACCTATATGACAATATATACATTTATACAAAATTCTTTGCCTCATATATTTTCTCACCTCCTATTGTGAGGTTTGAAATCTTATACACAGAACTTATTCTTTGAATGTTCCAGGTCTCTTAGCATCTAAGGATAATATAGTGTTTACTAGTATAAGGCTAGACTTAGAAATAAAAGGTTTGGGGTTATTTTGATCAATTTGGTTTTTAAAGAAAACTAGTAAAATCTGCACCAAATTTTAATTTGTTTTTTGTATCTTTTAACCTAATCTTAGAAGAAAAATTGAGACTTATAGGATATCTTATATCTTATCTTTGGGTTGTTCTAAGTGTATCCCCCCAAAGTTCATGTGTTGAAGATCTGATCCCCAGGGCAGCAATATTGGGAAAAAGTGGGACCTTTAAGAGGTGCAGCATAGGGGGAGCTCCTGAGGTCAACTGGGAGCATGCCCCCAGAATGGGCTGGAACCCCTGTCTGTCCCTGGTTGTGAGTTTTGAGGGGTGAAATCTTTCTCACACTGATGTTCTCATTCCCTGTATCTGCCATGGGGCTGTCAGTAGATCCAATAGCTACACTGTTTAAACTTCTAGTCTCTAAAACTTTTCTTTTAAAGTGAGCATATCTCAGGTATTTCATTACAGTAATGCAAAACAATGTAGGACATTTTGTAAATTGAATCTTTATCACTTCGATCCCTATATTTGGCAGTGATTAAACTCTGTTCTAGCAATGCAGAGACAAGGCCATAGAAGAGCCTATTTTCCAATACCCAGGTTCATTGTTAAGTCCTGTGCTGCTACCAGATAAGAACTATGCAATGTTGTCATTGTTTTCCCTCACCTTCTCTAGTCTCTTGTTTCTCCAATTCTTCTTTTTTATTGAGACATGATTCATATATCATGAAAATCCACATTTAAAAGTATATATTTCAGTGTTTTTTAGTATATTCACAAATTTTTGAAAACATCACCATTGTCTAATCCCAGAAAAATTTCATCTCTCCAGAAAACAGTCACTACCCATTTATCTGCACAGCCACCCCTTGCCCTTGACATCCATTTCTTTTCATCTCTGGATTTTGTATTCTGGATATTTCATATTAAATGCAATCAAATAACGTGTGGCCCTTGTGTCTGTCTTCTTCCACTTAGCATATGTTCCTAGGTCTCCATATTGTCATGAGTCAATAATTCATTTCTTTTTGTGGATGGATAAAATTAAATTGTATGACCGGACCGTGAGTTCTTTATCTATTCATCAGTTAAGAGCTAATTGGGTCATTTGCACAGTATGAATAATGATGCTATGAAAATATATTTTTTTTTGTGTGTGGACATGTTTTATTTCCCTTAGGCATATACCTAAAAGTAGGATTATCAAATCATGCATTAACTGCATCTTTACAAAAATGACTACTAAAAAGTTCTGGTGAGAATGTAGAGAAACTGTGATACTCACATCTTGCTAGTGAATACATAAAATGATACAGCTGTGGAAAGTTCCTCACAGGGTTAAATATACGATTACATAGTAGTACTTATTTCTACTGCTTATTCCCGAGGTTTTTGTATCTGAGGTTTTGATTAATAAGCTACAGGGAAAATTATTTGTATTGGACAAAGTGGTAGCATCCTGTTAAGTTCATGGAACAATCTTTGGCTGTAGAACAGATTCTTGTACAGGCATGGTGGTCCCCTTCAAAACATTTCATGTACCTGTGTTTGCTGTGGTTGCATTTGATTTTGACTTCCAGGGATAAAGTCTACTTTATCCAGGGATAAAGTCTACTTTATTTACATGCTAAGGGTCACTAAAATTAGGACTGGCTAAGTGCTTCAATTTGCAAAAAACATTATTATCAGAGTTTGGACTTGGCTGCAGTCTTTAGTGATTCTGGCCCAATGTGGGACTCACAGCTCAGCAGTTGTTTTCTCCGGAGTGAAAATTGGTTAGAAAGGAAATCTTGTTTCTTGGTTTTGTACAATAAAGATTTATACTAATACTCCTGAAATTATGTGCAGTCACCTCTCTCCGGTTCTTTACAGAGGACCTGTATTCCAAGTGGAGTGGAGTATATTTCGCATTTGCTGATTCATTTTTCAACCTTTCTCTTTTTTACATTTCTTTTTTTTTCCTTCCCTGTAGGATGTTTTTACCCCAGAATGCAAATTTAAGGAATCTGTGTTTGAAAACTACTATGTGATTTATTCTTCCACACTGTATCGCCAGCAAGAATCGGGCCGAGCATGGTTTCTGGGACTCAATAAAGAAGGTCAAATTATGAAGGGAAACAGAGTGAAGAAAACCAAGCCCTCTTCACATTTTGTACCAAAGCCTATTGAAGGTATGAAACTAACTTCTTTAATTTTTTGGACCCTGATATGTGTGTTGAAAACAATTCCACTCTTTGCTAATTCTCTAGGGTCTGTCTATAAAGCAACAGATGAGAACAAAATATCAGAGTACACATGAGGACCTTTTCTCATCAATAAAGAAAGAAAAAAAAGAATAAAGAATCTTATCAATCTGGGCATAGTGGTGTGCACCTATGGTCCTAGTGACTCAGGAAGCGAGGCGGGAGGATTGAAAGTTCAACGCTAGGTCAGTCTCAGCAGTTTAGTGAGGCCCTAAGCAACTATTTGAGACCATGTCTTAAATAAAATATTAAAAATTATAAAAGGGCTAAGGATATTGCTCCATGGTTAAGCATACCTGGGTTCAATCTTTAGAACCAAAAAGAAGAAGAAGAAGGAAAAAAGAAACCTACCACACTCCTTTGGTATTTAGGGAAAAAAATTATGTTGAACATAGTATTTTAATTTTTCCGAATATACCCTTGAAAAAATCAATAATATTATTACAGTGCTTTAAAGTTTGCAAAAGGTTTTTAGAGATACATTTATGTACTAATTTCTACATTTCTATAAGCAAATATAACAACATAGGGTATTAATTTTTCTTTGGTTTTTAAGGAAAAAAAACAGTGAAATATTTTCTGTGATCACCATTAAATTGTATCTTTCCCAGTGGAGCCTATCACCTCTTTCCTTGATCCTTTGATATAGTATCCACTTTTCAAAGTGAGGAGTGTAATAAACCTAATTTGGTCAACTATGATTTTCCTTAAAAGTTCCATAATTAGGTGTGTTGCAACTCTTAGTTTGATTTGCTAAACCATAAAATATCTCATAAGGCTCAGTCAGTGGAGCAGAATCCACAAGGCTTGCTGCAGAATATATACTAAATATGACTGCAATAGTCAACAAATATCTGTTAAGTCGATATTGTATTCAAAGTACTGGGTGGAATGTGACATTAAAGCTCCTAGTCCCTCTCAGATCTCTCCTTGCATCTTGTATCTTTAGGCCTACAAAACTAAACTTTCCTTTTTCTTGCAATGGATCATCACTATTATGGACTTCATACTGTCCATGCCCTGCTCCAGTATGCACCCACTCATCTCATCTGCCAGAAAAATGCCAATCAACCCTTGTACCAATTAATTCAAGAATCTCTACTTCCGTGGCAGTCTCCCTGGCTTTCTTCAAGAATTAAGCCTTCTGCCTTCCAATCATTGTATATATTTCTCTCCCATAGAAATGATTCTATTGTATAAAATTTACTTATTGCCCCTCTGTTGCCTCTTGTTCATGGTTAGCTCATTCTCTGAATGAACAAAACCTATTTTATTTTTTTCTTATACCCCTATGTCTTGTATAATATCTGTCGTGTCATAAAGAGATATTCAGTCAGGAGTTGAGAACTGGATAAGTGAACATGTGAATGAACAAATGAACAAGTAGATAAATATAAAGACAAAGTAGAAAGAACTACATGCTCCAGAGAATGTTATAATATTCATGGAGATATGAAATATGTTCACTATGGTATAGTGGAAAAAAAATTCCCATGCTGTGGGAATTGATACTGGGATTTAGAGAAAGAACTATGGCTTCCACTAAAAGGAAGATATTAATGAGAAAATGATATTCAAGGATATCTTTAGCACTAGGCCAGGTTCACAGAATTTGAGATGAGAGGAGAGGAACACTCAGACGGAAACACTCCAGGAGCAGTGAGAAGAGGCAGGAAGTGCCTGCCTTGTAAGGTCAGGCAGAAGGGTACTTAAGAAGTTGATCATGTTCCCATGGGAAAATGTACTGATTCTTAAGAATCATTTTTGACAAATTATGCTTTCAATTCTTGCATCCTTTTTTTTTTGCATTTAAGCTGATATTTTTGTACTTATGAAAGTAGTGCATGGTCATTAACAATTTTTGGAAAATTCAAGGAAGCGTGACGACAAAGATTCATGTTTTATTTATTCCTTATATGGATAATACATTTTATACTGAACCCCTCCCACCAACCCCAGCAAAAGGAAAAAAAAAAACTGTAACCAATGCTCATGATTATAACACTTTGGTCCTGGGTGACCATGTGTACATATGCAAAAAAAAAAATTATGATGATTATGTTTCTAGTTCCAGAACTGCTTTAATTCTGTTTGTGACTGCATTTTGATACAGATGTGGAAAGAGACAACCTGACATTCCTAAACATGAGAATTAGGTGCTTTGCACAATACACAGCTTACATCAATAGCAGCTTACTCATACAATTTCTCTTATAAGCCAAATCTAAAGACCAGCTGTCCAGGGATGGTATGAGGCTTCCCAATTGTTAGGAAGTTTGGCTGCATCCAGGTTTTAGTGCCTGTCTTCCTAATATGTTGTGTAGAACTGTGTGCTGCACTATTGCCACAAGCAGGCACACTGGTCCTGGGTGTGCCCTTGTCCCCATCTTTATCATAATCAGAAAGTGGAAGAAGAATGAAAGAAGACAGAATCAAAAGTCTGTGCCTGTTTTCTTTTAAAAAATGATCTCCATTATCTGCCATGTGATATACACACAGTCCACAACCTAGACAGGCAGTCAGATTCAAGCAGAGGGAAGCTAGGCATGTAGCCTCGGTTCTGGATGGCTACATACCAAATATGTATTCAGTTATTTTAGAACAATGGTGGAATTGGGTAACAACTTCTGCTTTAGTTTTGCATCATCGATGAAGCATCAGAATATCTCTGATTTCCTAATGTGCTTATTTACATCTTTTAGTTGATTGTTTTAATTTTTTCTTATTTACCATTGCTTTATAATGATTTTCATCTTGTTCTGGGAAAAAGTTAAGTTCATTCTAAATCAGATTCACTAATACCTGGATTTACTTCCAAGGTCCTTTTTTTTTTCATTTGTGGCAATGAAAACTTAGGTGTGAAGTATAAAGAATGTGATGAGAAGAATCACTTTTGAAGATAAAAAGCTCAATTGATTTAGACCAAATATCTTTTTTAAAAATTAATTAATTTATTAATTAATTCTAATTAGATATATACAACAGCAGAATGCATTTTGATTCATTGTATGCAATTACAGCACAACTTTTCATTTTTCTGGTTGTACTTGATGTAGTGTTGCACCATATGTGCAGTCATACATATACCTAAGGTAATGATATCTATCTCATTCCACCATCTTTCCTGCCCCCATGGCCTCTCTCCTCCCTTCCCTCCCCTTTGCCCAATCAAAGTCCCTTCATTCTTCTCATGCCCCCCTTCTCATTATGGATCAGCATTCAATTAATCAGAACATTCGGCCTTTGGTTGTATGGGATTGCCTTACTTCACTTAGCATGATATTCTCCAACTCCATCCGTTTACTTGAAAATGCCATAATGTTTATTCTGTTTTAATGTTGAGTAATATTTCATTGTGTAAATATACCACAGTTTCTTTATCCATTCATTTATTGAAGGACATCTAGATTGATTCCACCATTTAGCTATTGTGAATTGAGCTGCTATAAACATTGATATGGCTGCATCATTATAGTATGCTACTTTTAAGTCCTTTGGGTATAGATTGAGGAGTGGTATAGCTAGGTCAAATGGTGGTTCTATCCCAAGTTTTCTAAGTATTCTCCATACTGCATTCCAGATTGGTTGCGCTGATTTGTAGTCCCATCAGCGATGTATGAGTGTGCCTTTCCCTCCACATCCTTGCCAACACTTAATGTTGTTTGTATTTTCGATAACTACCATTCTGACTGGTGTGAGATGAAATCTTAAGAGTAGCTTTGATTTGCATTTCTTTAATTACTAGAGATATTGAACATTTTTTCATATATTTGTTGATCAATTTTAAATCTTCTAAGAAGTGTCTGTTCAGCTCCTTACCCCATTTATTGATTGGACTGTTTATTTTTTGGGGTGTTAAGTTTTTTGAGTTCTTTATATATCCTAGAGATTAGTGCTCTATCTGATACACAAGTGGCAAAAAATTGCTCTCAAAATCTAGGCTCTCTTCACTTCATTGATTGTTTCTTTTGCTTAGAAGAAGGTTTTAAGTTTGAATCCATCCCATTTATTGATTCTTGATTTTATTTCTTGCTCTGTAGGAGTCTTGTTAAGGAAGTCAGGGCCTAATCTGACATGATGAATATTTGGGCCTACTTTTTCCTCTATTGTATGCAGGGTCTCTGTAAGACCAAAGATCTTTTAATTCTCTATAAATATCTCTGCCATTTATCTTGGAGAACAAGGTTCAATTTTGTGAATAATATTAGTTACCAGTTATGTAAATGCTTAATTTTCAGAAGTACTCCTCTAAATATGCTTCAATTATTGTCTCAATTTTCATTCCATTTCTACAAATTAGCTTCAACTATTGTGTCCACTTACAAAAGTTGAAAATAAAGCACAGAGACATTAAGCAATTTTTCCTAAATCATGTAGCTAGGCAGAGCCAGAATTCAAGCCAAAGCATTCGGACCTTAGAATGAAGTGCTTTACCTCCATGAAGACCAGGGAGAGGGGCTGCAGCCTGAGAAAGGTTCTGGGATTAACTTAAATTTAGTATCATGGGACTAGGAAATATCTAGAATAAGTGTCTACTAATTGCTTCTCTTCATTTTGATCTGAAATATACCTTCCCCTTAGAAGTAAGAGTCCCCAGAGATTAATGGAGACCTCATGCTCTTATAATTTACTTGATACACATAAAATTGGTTAGTTCTTTTATACCTTATATGTGCTTTGATATCATCATCATCATACATAAAATATGAACAATGACCCAATGATTTTCTATGCAGTTTTATTTGATATAATTGAATTTCCAATATTATGAAATATGTTTGAATTTCTGTTAGGCAATATTCTGTTTAGTATCTCCCTTCAGGGATACTAAAACTATTCTAACCACTGCTATTATTCCCATTCCTCTTAGTCTTAACCCTTCTATTTATAATTTATCAATCTAACATTTTTTCTAGGCAGGCTGTGTA